GGGGGGGTCACATCTTGTAGATGCGAGCGTGAGGAAGGGGAGGCGGCGGGAGGCGCGCTGGTATGCATTCTGATTCCTGCCTCGGCCAGAAATTGAGGACCCACACCCCCTCCTCCCCATTTCCCCCTTCCTCCCTCACCAGCTTCACGAGGAAGCTGAAGCGGGTGACGGCCGAGCAGGGCGCGCAGTTCGTGTCCTACGACCCCCGCACCGGCACCTGGCGCTTCACGGTGGAGCACTTTTCGCGCTACGGCCTCTTTGATGATGAGGACGACGACGAGGACGACGAGGAGGGGCGTTCGGGCGACCACGGCGCAGGAGTGGGCCAGGAGAAGCCGACCCCAGTCGGCCCGGCGTCGGCGCGGCGCGGCCGCCGGCGCCAGGTCGTGGACTCCGACGGCGAGGGGGGCAGCCCAGGCGCCGCCGATCCGGACAGTCCCCGGGGACTGGCTGGCGCGCGGCCCCCACCCTCGGCGGGGCTGGGGCTGGCCTGGGAGGAGGACGACGAGGAGGAGCGGGAGGACATGCAGCAGAGTGCGTGCTGCGTCGTGTGCGGGCGCCGGGGGGCTTGGAGAGGGGCTTGTTCAGGGTGTTCTGGTGGAGGGGATGGAGTGCAACTGAAACGTCGGGGGGGCATCGATGGTTTGGATTTGAGGCGTTGAGGCGGAGGCGGGGGCATCGGTTGGACCCCCCGCCGCCTGGTCCCCGTGCGATCCGGGACCTCGGCCCATCACATGACATCTCCACACCCCACCTTCCCTCTGGCACGCAGGCGACGGCGCGAGCGTCAGCGGGGAGGCGTCGGACGAGAGCTTCGGGGGCGCACTGGCCCGCTTCGTCCCCGGCGGCCGCGCGCAGGATTTTGGGGGGGCTCCCACCCTGGTGACATCGCTGCCTGCCAGGGTGGGAGCCTCTGAGCCGGAAGACCTGCAGCGAATCGGGTGAGGTGCCCTGGGTGGGCTCTGATGGCAGGGTTTGAGTGTGTTTTGGTGGGTTGGTGAGAGGGCGATACCTTGCGAGGCTTGTGAGGTGGAGGCCGCGACGACGGGGAGAGTCGGCCCTGATCTCGTCGGTCCAACCCCGTCCCGATCTCCAGAGAGGGGCTGTTTGGCGCGACGCAGTCCCGCGGGAGCGGCATCGCCCGGCCGGGGCGGGCGGCTGCGCGCCGCGGCACTGCAGCTGGCACCCCGGCCGGCCGCCGGTCGGGCGCCGGGGCGTACTCGGGGCCAGCAGAGGCGTGGGGCCAGCTGGACGCAGTGGCCGCCGTGCCGGTCCCCGCCGACCCCGCACCCCTGCGCAAGAACAACTGGGTGAGAACGCCCCCCGCGCTGCTCCCACCCCCAGCGCATCCCGCCGCGGGTGCCCTGCCCAGCCCTGAGGAGCTGGCCCTGGCCTCCCCGGGCCTGGCGGAGATGCCCGGGCCACGCAGGGTGCCCACGGGCCCCGCCACGGCGCAGGGCCACACCCGCTGCCGCGTCGGGGCTCACCCAGTCACCCCGGCGGCCGATGCGGCCGACCGGGCGGACCCCGCCCGCTGGCTGGGGCGGTCCTGGCGCGCCGGGTGGGCGCCCTCCGGCCTCCTCGCCCACCCAGGTGCGGTTTGGGGGGCGCGTGTGGACGGAGACGCTCTGGCCTTGCATGCCGCAGTGTTCACTGGCTGCCCCTCGATCGACCCGTGCATGCCGCCGCCGCTCGGCCCCCCACGTACGCCTCGGCGCCGGCCCCCTCCCGACCCCAGTGCACTGCCACCCTGGTCCCCTCACACGCACACGATCCGATCACTGGCACAGGCGGGAGCGAGGCCAGCGCGGCGCACCTCGTGGTGGAGTGCTCGCCCTCTGCGCGCGCCGGGGTCGCGGCGACCAAGAAGGCGACCCACCTGGAGGCCCTGCTGCGCATCCACCTGCGGCACAGCGTGGCGGAGGCGCCGGGGGGGCCGAGCGCCGAGCCCACCCGCTGCCCCTCCTGGCGCCTGGCCTGCCCGCGCACGGCGGGCCTGCGCGCCCTCACCGCCGACCTGCTGCGCGCCTGCGGCGAGGCCGCGGCGGGGCTGCCGGCGGGCCCTCAGCGCACCGCGCTCGGGGCGCAGGCCGCCGCCTGGGAGCTGCTGCACGTGCTCTTCGGCAGGCTGGAGGGCGAGGTGGGGGGCGGGGGTCCGGGGGAGGCCGGGTGCGGTGCGGAGGACGCGCCGGACGCCGACGGGCTCGGCGCGCGCGACGCGCCGGACGCCGACGGGCTCGGCGCGCGCGACGCGCCGCTCCGGCTTCTGGTCGACCTCCGGCGCCGCGCCGCGCTCAGCGACTGGCTGCGCGACCGCGCCCGCGCCGGGGTCAAACGCGACCTGGAGGCCCTGCGCGCCTCGGGCGCGCGCGGGGCGGCCGCCTCGCCGGCCGCCGTGCTGGCGCTGCTGACGGGGCGCCAGCTGGCGGCCGCCGCCTCGGCGGCCGCGGCGGCGGGCGACGTCCGCCTCGCCACGCTCGTCGCTCAGGTGTGAGGGGGGGAGGGGCCGGGTTGGTTGCCTCCAGGAGTGGGGCTCGCTGTGCAGCCGGCCTGGGATGGCCGATGTCGGGTGGCATGGGGAAGGGGGCGCATGCTGGGCCACTGGTTGCCAGGATCCCTGGTATGGTGAGGTGTTGGGTCTGACGCCACTGTGGGGGCTGTGCCTCTGACGCACGGCACCTTCCTCCCTGGGAAGTTACCGTCCCAGGCGCAAGCCGGACACACCCCACTGCTCAGCCCTGTACCGCTGTCCTCTGCACCAGCGACATCCCCACTCCTCGCCAGCAACCCCCCCCAAGACCCAACCCCCTCACTCAACCTCCCCCACGCCCCCCCCCCGCCTTCCAATCACCCAGGCCGGCAACGGAGAGGCCACCAGCCGCGACGTGGCCGCCCAGCGCGAGGTCTGGCGCGGCGCGGGGTTCGAGCCGCACCTGGACGCCACGCGCGCGCTCTGCTACGCGCTGGTCGCCGGCGACGTGGACGGCGCGGCGCGGGCGCTGGACTGGCGCCGCGCGCTGGGGCTGCACCTCTGGTACGGCACGCCGCCGGACGCGCCACTGGCGGTGGCGCTGGAGGCCTACCGCGGCGCGGTGGAGCGTGGCGCCGCGCCGCCGCCGCTGCCGGCACACGTCACGGCGGCCGGGGCCGTGCCGCCGGCGGTCCCCGCCACCGACGCGGCCTGGGAGCTGCTCCAGCTGCACGCCGGCTGGCGCGAGGCGGGCGCGGGCGGGGGTCTCGACCCGTGGAGCGGCGACGCCGGCCGCCGCCTGGCGCCGCTGCTGCGCCGCCTGGCACGGCCTG